TCTTAGATCGAATTAGGGAGAAATTAATGTGTACCTAAGTATAGTAGTGTATTATGGACAAAAATAATGCACAGTGGTCTGTAACACCGTTTATCGTATCCAAATTCATTTTAGCATTATTAAAAGGTTTAAGATAGTATATTTAACATAATAACGTAATAACATAGCACATATTACATTAAAGTCAAAAATACGTATTAATATTTAACAAAAATCGAAATGACTTGAACTGTTTGTAACAAAAATTATATGTTTCTCAAATTTTATACACTAAAATTTCAGAAAAATTCATTTCAGATCATCGGAAGTGTGTTCTAAAACGTTGAAAGTTACATTTTTTGAATGTTTTAAATGGTTTCTATTTGAGAGAGTACAAATGTGTACAAATCGGAAAGTGTAAAAATTGAGTTACGGCCAAAAATGACCGCTCTCCAGACCATTGTGCAATGTACAGTGCCGGACAAAAGATTGCGACGATAAGGAAAAAAGAAAGGAACAAAAAAATTGATAAAACACTCGAAAGAGAATCGGACTCAATCTTGTTACTGTTTCTACGTCGGAAACTGACTTGAAACCAGCCTGATTTTAGTCACGTTTGGGCCCTTTATATACCCAAATTTTCTTTGAAAACGATAGTGGTGATATCCATATGTGTCCAGGTCCCAGAAAATTCGTCATCGTACCCCTTAGAAGGTACATAACTCACATGTGTATACAGAGCGAACCTGCAGTACGCTCCCAGGAAGGAGTACATTGTCAACGAAACCGTTTGCTACGTTTTCGAAAAGAAAAAAGTTACTCCAGATCACCTCAGGAATGCCATTATGCAGTTCTAACGCCAGCTCTGGAACACCTTGCATAATCACTAAACACTTTATACCACTGACTGTTCAACAAGATTCGACGAACACCTTAACCCCTTAACGTGCACGCTCGAGTTAACTCGAGCGCGCTAAACTGGCCAAACTGTGCACACTCGAGATAATTCGAGCGGCGTTGTACTTTATGTTGCTGTAATTTTTCACACTCGAATGCAATCGAGAATTGAAAATAACAATGTGAAAGCAAAAAAGAAAAATCGTTTTATTGATATTTATCATTTACATGGGATTGTAAGCTATAACACTTACTTATTCAAGTATAAAATATATCCTTTTTCTACTTATCACTTTTACGACTTATCTCTTCCTTGTGAGCCGCTTTCCGACAGCGTATTCATATTCAGATTCGCTCATTTTCCAATATATATTTTACTAAAATATAATGTAAAATAAAATATAATAATAATAATAATAATAATAATAACAACAACAACAACAACAATAATAATAATAGTAATATTCTGAAAATTAGAAATCATACCAATTGTATAAGTATTTAATATTTTTGTATTTTTGTATTTTTGTAATTTTCTTGCCAAGACAACGTTCTAAATTGTGCTTTTTTACATAAAAAAAAATTGATTTTTTTTTTACCGGCCTTTTTCAAAAATACTGTGCATTAAGGGGTTAAATCCTCAAATCCTTATCAAGCATTCACATCCTATTCCTGCATATTATTGATAATAAATTCGTACCAGAACTTGTTACTACCACTGTATTCACAGATTTATTCAAATCCTGCTTCAGGTACGCGAACAAAACGGAGGATTATCCTGATATACAACTCTTCCTGTCAAGCATAACGGACGATTCCGATGGCGGTCTTTTCATAAAGCGGGACAGCAATGTAAAGGACGACTTCTACGAACACATGTACGAGAATATCCTCTACAAAACTGCGTATTCTGGCATTCCGCTTTTGCTGAGACCACGTAGCAGAGGGTACGTGAAATTACGCTCGAGCAACGTGGACCATCATCCGATCATCGTTCCCAATTACTTCCAGGATCCACATGATCTTGACATTTTGGTAAGTAGACACTTTAATATTTTAACCCGAGAAAGATAACCTACGTCGCAGAGGCGCCTGCGAAATAAACAACTGACTGCACCGTGGATGACGCAAAGACTGGAAGCACCCACTTTGCCAAGGCATGTGCGAAGCAACATTGAAAATATTCTTCCAAAATCTGCTGTACAGGCTTCCACAGATGATGAAGAAGAACCCTCAGCCAAAAAAAGGCGTTATTGCAGTCTTTGCACGTCTAAAAAGAAAAGAATGTCAAAGATGACCTGTGCCAAATGCAAAAAGACAGTTTGTGGTGAACACAAGAAAGACGTTTGTCATGACTGTCTCTAAAGAAATTTTTTATAATATTATAGTTTTTTTTTCACTGATTATATTATAGTCTACTAGTTTGTAAGGATAAAACACTATTTTTTGTGATATTTTACGGGATTTGTTCCCATAAACCGAAGACTTGATTTTTGTTAATTTTTCATAGAGGTCTAGTGATTTAAGCTTAAAATTACTTAAAATATAAAAAAATATAATATAAATGCATTTTATTTTTACAATAATGCCAAACCTTTAAAATGACTAGATTAACTTAAATAAATATCCATTGTTAGTATAAAATTGACGCCTTAGAAAAGCATGCGCCTCTGAAGCGTATGGTTATCTTTTACGTACGTTGTCATATGGTTATCTTTCTAGGGTTAAAGGAAGTATTCCGGTCTAGAAGTTTGGAAAAGTCGATTTTCTTGTTACTCTATCTTTTTCTAGCACAGTAATTTTTCCCAGAAATGTGCGGTGGTCGGAATTGAAACCGGCAGATCTGAGAATACTAAGTCGCGATTCTTCGAGCCTCGCGGCTCCTTTTTGTAGAAACTCGGGGCAACGGCCAGCGTGTAGTAATGCTAGAATACAAAGGATGACTTAACTGTTTTATTTCTAATTTTTTGCCACGATTCGAAGGCACGATTCGAGGCCGCATGACACGATTCGACGGCAATTCGGAGGTCATGTGACACGATTCGAAGGTAATTCGGAGATCACATCGCACAATTTGACGGTCACGCAACTAGTACCTAACACATAACTTTTACCTCCGGGACTTTTCTTACTTGATTCACACCCAAACAGACCATTTTGTATTGTCTTGCGGAAATCACGTGCCGCATCGTAGGCTTGACCAACTCGGTCGACCTTTAGCACAGACGTAGCAATAAATTGCATAGGCGTAGGACTCGCACAGGGAAGTTCACAGCAACCCGAAATTTGGCATTTCCGGCAGAAATTACTGAATATTGTGGAAACGTATCTGTAAAAGAATCTCTTTCTATTTGTAAAAATAACGAGGTTACTTACGTTTGCAGATCATTTTAGTAAATATCAATCTTTTTCTAATTTTTTATATGCCGGAAGCAAGATGGAAGCTACAAGAAGATCATGATGTTCAAAACATCACCATACTGTTAAATAATGAGATATTTCATTTAGCTTGGCATGACCACCTTGTTTTTGTGATTCTGATTAGCAGAATAGCTGGAATCGTGTCAACTATGAGTAGACACTTATTTGTGAAACAGATCTTGTTAAAAGAAAAATCGCCCTGGGGATTTTTGATATGCTTGCTTAAAACAAATATATGTTCTAACTTTTATCTGAGTATTTTTATCTAAGTATTTCTCAAACCGTATGTGCGAGAAATGAATGCAAAATAATTATAATGAAATCACACATTGAATTCTCTTACAGAACTGGCTATTATCATAATCTTAGAGAATTTACTGCTATACTGGGTAGTGAGAAAAATAACCTCATCACTAGAAATGATTTTAGATGTAAGTGTGCTGAAGATGTTAAGTTGAAAATGTAAGTGTTACTACGAATACATAAATTTCTCTTAACATTTTCACACGACCACGCAAAAAGCCTCAAAAATTTCATAAAATTAAAGTATTTCGTTCGATTAAATAAAAACTGCAAAGCGAACTTATATGACAGCAAATTCCTGTTCAACATCCTTAATTATCTTGCAAATCTTAATCAAATCGAGAAATCAGTTTTAATTTTTAGACATTAGAAGTGAGAGATTTCCCCATTCGGTCGTCGATCGACTGAATCTAAAACGGGGAGATCTTCGCATTCGGTTGGCTAAGTGTTAAGTTCATATTTTTCGCGATTCCAATTTAATCAATGTTTATTTACATCAAGGACCTATCCGCAACCTCGAATACAAAAAATATACGCATCGATGGTATTAAAATCGCAAAGAATAAGTTCTTGTCCGTTGATCGTAATACTTGCCCCTTAATATTAAAACGCGTTTTACTTTAGCAATTTTTCACATAATCCAAAACCAGTATAGAATATTCAATGTGGTCCGGTTATTTTGCTCAGCCTCTGTAGCTATTTCATATCAAAATAAAGTGAAAGTTTGTCAAATAATAACATTTAACACATTGCGGACGGGGCTCTGCGCGTTCAACACGCCCTCAAAGACCGCACATTTTCAAACGCTCCAAAAACATGCTTGGCAAGTAACAGGAAGCGGATACGCGCATTTCTAATTTGTGTGCATTTAGTATTCTTAAATAATACTATATATACATAGTTTATATATCTGTTTATTATATAAGATTTTTTACATTTTAACTATTATTTATTATACAAATTTGAATATTGATTTAGAGTATGATATTTGGAATGATTCATTTGTTTCGCTAAAATTACTTAGGAATGCGAGAGGCTTCGTTACCATGGTTACGTAACAGAAATATTTGCGGCTGGTTGCTTAAGTTGCCGATTAAATAAAAAAAACATGAAAACGAGATATCTCGTGACCCGTCCGCAACGTTCAATTTGCTAAAAACGAGATATCTCGTGAGCCGTCCGCAATGTGTTAATACCCTCATTTTTCAATTATTCTAGTTCGACGAGTTAAATCTATTTCCATTGTAATCGACATGATTTTCTGCTGTTAACAGGTAGAAGGTGCAAACTTCATGTACAATCTCAGCCAGACACAAATTTTGACAAGCCTGAATGCCACAGCAAACCCAAATCGAATTCCAGAATGCTCGTGCTTTGAGTTTCCATCCGATGACTACTGGAAATGCCACGCAAGATTCTACACAATGACGATCTATCATCCATGTGGGACTTGCAAGATGGGCCAAGCGACTGACAAGATGGCCGTCGTGGATCATAGACTCAGAGTACACGGAATTAAAGGACTGCGAGTCGTCGACGCGTCGATTATGCCGAACATCACCTCTGGAAACACGAATGCGCCGGTCATTATGATTGCTGAGAAGGCTGCAGACATGATCAAGGAGGACTGGATGATGTAGATTATCGTCTGAGCTTGACCTTGTAAAATTGTGGAAATGGAAAATCTTGATGCTATATACATCAGAGAAGTTTTGGATTCTCGAAGAAACTTTGTATACTCTGTTTCAATTATGATCATAACTTACGTGGTAAACCGATGTCATGTTTTAATATTTAAAGAAAATTGTTTATTTTCTTCATTTTAATAAATTTTCTGGTAATAAATATTTGGTAATATGGATGAAGGTAATAAATTATTTTAATATTTCAAGAAAATTATTTGTTCATAGCGACCTATTAATTGCAAAGACCACCATTTTTTGGAAATAATGAATAAGTGGATATATCATTCTGTTATATCAAACAAATATCACAAGCTATCACACGTCTTGAAATTCCTTGAGATATAATATTTTGTTTTAATTAATAAAATTTAATTTGTCTGTTCTTTATGATAAAAAACAGTAAAATAGCTTCGACAGTCCTTTAAACAGGTTAAAATGTTTAAAATGTCGCAAAAAAATATACCGCTATACGTGGGACAGTCAATATAATAATAATATGTATCTTATTAATTACTCACTATCTTTTTTAGCAAGACATTCTATTAAGTAACAAAATGCGTAGGACGTTGTGCGAAGTTCGAGTATATCTCATTATGAAAACATTACCATCAATTGCATTTTCCTTATAATAATAAATAATAGGAAAGCCTATAGAATTAAACTGTGAGAA